AAAACTGCAATGCTTTTAGATTAACCCATTACTACCACCAAAAAAAAAAACCCCGTTGCACATTTTCATTTTAAAAGTTGTTAAGTCGTTTCATTCTGTGGCACGATAGTCATTATCATAATACTTGTGTTTTATAAAATAATTGTGCAAAATGATCTTTCTTAAGTCAATATTTTGATTATATAAAAATAATTATAGAAAATTAATATTAAAAGGGCATGAATTTTTGTGATGCCATATATTTGTCGCAAATGATAATATTACTAACGACATGTTTTTTCTCACAAAAAAGAGAAGATGGAAAATTTTCTTCAAAAAATTAGACTTTTTTTTATAGAAACCTGTAAATCTTTTATTTAACCAGTGGAGGCTGTTACATTATCCAGCTGTAACTGGTCAAGCAAAACCATCGGGGGTATATCTACCCAAACAATACGTTCATTCCATCGAGTTTCCACATGCCATCAAATGAGCAGCTTCATTTCCAGTGCGATTCACATGTTGCCAAGAACATTCTCCCCTCGTACTTAGGTATCGTCTAATGCTTCTGCAAATCGTGCCTGTTTCCGAGTGAATAGAGTCCGCTTCATGGATCTTCTTCACTAGAGCAAGACAATCCACTTCCAGGATGGGGTTCATAATATGGTTATGGAGAGCTATTTGAACACCAAATTCCGCCACTAGCGCTTCTGCCTCTTCGATCTACCAACTCCCCTCCATTTTCTTTGCTGCTGCACACAGGAAACGGCCCATCCAATCGCGTTCAACCATCCCCAGACCAATACCCCCATTTGTCAGCACACTTGCATCAGTATTTATCTTGACTCGTCCCTGCTCCGGTAATCTCCAATGGCTACTATCCCTGTCCTACGTTGGTATGCTACTTCTTCTTTCTTGACTCCGGTAATCTTCCCGAAAAGCTTTTGCCCGGGAAATAATCTCGTTCTCCTCAAGCCGATGCCCATTAAACAGCTGAGCATTTCGCTCGCTCCAAAAGAATCCGAGCACGATGCACCATGCTCAACCATCTCATCCGACTCAGCTCCCATCACAGCCTCCACCCACTGATAGCAGTCGTCACTTGGCCGGTTGGTGAAACAGGTTGCAAACTCGGATTGCCTCCATAGTCTAGACACCCATGCACACTGGCAGAAGGCGTGAACTTGCGTTTCCCGGAGATTGCAGTAACGACACTTATCCGTCCTCCTCTCTCTTTTCACACTTATGTGATCGCCGGTGGGGAGCACATCCCTCATAAACCGCCACATGAAGTGCTTCACTTTAGGAGGCATATCCAGCGACCATAGCCTCTTCCATATACTAGCTTCTCCGACAGGAACTATCTGTTGCTGGCCTTTGAGGAAGTCTTGTAGCCATGACTTATAGCCGTCCCTGACTGTGTATTCACCCGAGTCATTCGTTGCCCAAATTATCCGATCCGTTTCTCCATTTCCTCGGAGTGGGATCTGTATGATCTTATTGGCTATATCAGTGGGGAAGCATCTCTCAAGAGCCTTAAAATCCCACTCCTCAGTATCGGGCTGAATAAGCTCTCGCACCACTGAGTCTGCAGGCAATCCCTTTGGCGCTGATTCCACATACCACGGCTCCCCGGATGGCAGCCAATTATCGCCCCATATTCGAACTTCCGTTCCATTTCCCACTTTCCATCGGATCCTTTTGCAAAGGAACTCCTGTTCACTTAACAAACTCCTCCAGATGAAGCTAGGCCTATACCCTATGGAAGCATCCAAAACTGTAGTATTCTTATAGTACTTGGCCTTCATCAGTCGAGCCACCAGCGACGAGGGATGTTGGAATAGCCTCCACATCTGCTTTGCCAGCATGGCCGTATTAAAGCCTTCTAAATCTCGAAAACCCATACCTCCCTCCTCTTTCGGGCACGCCATACCTTCACGACTAACCCAGTGCACACATCACTCAGCTCCCTTTTGCCCCCAGTAAAAGTTCATTATTAAACTATGAACTTCGTTCACAATGAAAACCGGTAATCTGAAAACCGGCATAGCATAGGTTAATTGCGATTGAGCCACCGCCCTTATTAGTGTTTCTCTTCCTGCGACTGAAAGATTCTTCTCTTTCCACCCTTTCAACTTTTTGCGCACCCGTTCCTTTAAGCCACTAAAAATTTCCTTCTTTGATCGCCCTACCACAGTTGGCAAACCAAGATACTTCTCATGCTTCTCCACCATAGTCATAGCCAGAGTCCCGCTTACCATCAATCTCATATGCTTCTTTACATTACCACTGAAAGACACCTCTGACTTTGGGTAGCTTACCACCTGGCCTGATTCTGCTGCATACCCTTGTAGGAGACTCTTTAGAGTGTCCACTTCCTGTGTTGTTGCGCTCCCAAAGAATACACAATCATCAGCAAAGAATAGGTGGCTAATTGTTGGGGCACCTCTGGCCACCTGAATACCATGCAACCTGCGGTCTCTTATTGCCTATCTGGTAATGGCAGAGAGCCCCTCCGCACAAAAGAGGAAGAGGTAGGGAGATAGAGGGTCCCCTTGCCTTAGCCCTCTCTCTGGGGAAAACCGTTGGGACTGATGCCCATTAACAAGAACCGAGTACGAGACAGTACGCACACACATCATGACGAGCTCAATCCACCGCGAGTCAAAACCCATACGATTCATTGCCCCCTCCATAAAGTGTCACTCCACTCGATCATACGCTTTCGCCATATCAATCTTGGCGGCAAACATTCCTGATCCAGTCTGTTTCTTCTTCTTCATCGTATGAAAGCACTCAAAAGCTGCCATGATATTATCCGTGATAACTCTACCCGGGACAAAAGCACTCTGTTCCGGTGAGATAACATCATCCATGACCATTTTAATCCTGTTCGCCAGCACTTTGGAGACCAGCTTATAAAGAACATTACACATGCTTATAGGTCTAAACTCCTGAGGACTAGCAGGCGACTTCACTTTCGGAATGAGGGCTATAAGAGTATGGTTCAACTCCTGCGGCATCACCCTGCTTTCCAAGATTCCCAACACCACATTCACCACATCATCACCAACAATATCCCAATATTTTCTGAAAAATAGGACGGATAAGCCATCTGCTCCCGGTGCCTTCCTGACTCCCATTTGTTTTAGTGCTGCAACTACTTCTTCTCTCCCAAACAGACGTAACATCATCTCGTTTTGCTCCGTAGTTACCGAAGCCCCTATGGAATCCAGGACTGGGGTAGCCTGCGGAACATCACTAGCTGAAAATAGATTAGAGAAATAGTTAGTGAAACAAAGGAAAATCTGCTCTAGAGTTGTATGCCATTGCCCTCCTTCATCTTTAATCTTGCGAATTGTATTGCGTCGCCTTCTCGCCGAGGCTTTCTTATGAAAGAAAGCTGTATTCTTGTCACCACCCTTCAACCAATCCGCTCTAGACCTTTGGCTCCAATAAAGCTCTTCATTTTCCTCAAGTTCCGCAAGCTCAACCTCCAGCTGTTTCCGCTGTTGGATTACCAGCTCCGAGCGAGGCCGCCAATCCAGCGCAGCCAAAGCTCTTTTAATTTTTCATCGCTGCCGCCCAAAGTTAGGAAAAACTTCCTTTCTCCAAGAGTTTAGACTTTCCCTGCAAGAAGAAAATTTTGTAAGTAGATCCACCCCGCCGCAATCTGTCCATGCCTTCTCAATCACACGGTGGCAGTCTTCGTGCTTTGCCCAGTAGGGCTCAAATTTAAAAGACCACCCCCATTGGGGCTCCTCATCAGCTTCACCACAAGTATCACAAATGATCGGGTGGTGGTCAGACCGTTCTTTCTCGAGATTCAGTACTCGTGCATTGGGGAATAGCCCCGACCAATTATCCGTTGCCACGAATCGGTCCAAACGTTCCTCAATATAAGCTGCACCTACTCACGTGTTCTCCCAAGTAAACGGATATCCACTGTACCCCAAGTCTCCTAACCCAACTACATCAAGACAGTCTTCAAAAGCCACCATCCCTGCATCAGGGGCCACTCGACCACCACTTTTTTCCTGAATACGTAAAACTTGATTAAAGTCTCCGCCACAAAGCCACAGGCCATCCCACTGCCCCCCAACCGTCGTAGGAGGTCCCAAGTCCTCCACTTCTCCGAGTCTTCCGACCACCCATAGATTCCTATGAACCTCCACACACCCCCTTCGTCCTCCGTGATCCTAACATCTGCGTGGTTACGGTCCAAAGACATCAGGTCGATGTTGAAACCTTCTCGCCACCATACTCCCAGACCCCCCGCACGACCGCCCCCCGACGTGTCCACCGAGCTTGCTTCCCCTTTCTCGAATCCCAACTCCAACTGAGTTACACGATTTTCCTCCTTTGTTTGTTTTGTTTCCGACAAGAAAACAACATTTGGGGAGTAACGCCGCAATAGCGAACGTAAAGCACGAACTGCACGCTTGCTCCCCAGCCCGCGACAGTTGTAACAGAGGAGCCTCATCTATTCCCAGAAGGGGATAGGTTTCCCGCACCATCAGCTGTTTGATTACCTCTTTTCGATCCATTTCCATTGCCATGAATCACTTGGGATTTACCACCCTTATTCACTTTTGCCTTCTGAGCACCTTCCACAGTGACCTGTTTCCCAGCCTTTTCCTTCCCACCTTTTGCCGCATCACTACTAAACTTCTGTTTCCCATCATTTTTTGTAGGTCCCCTCTCTGTTCCCTTCCCATCCATCTCACTTTCTTTCTCATTATAGCCACTGGTCTATTCAACGGGGTTCACTTCCTCCCCACGCGTCTTCTCCCTTTCTGCCATTGTTTCAGTTCGACCATCATCCCCGCAACCCCCCTGTTCGTGCAGGGCATGAAATCTATTTTTTCTTACCACCTCTTCCCTCCTTCCTTCAGTGTTACTTACGCACTTTAATGGCTGCCACATCTTTTTCTTTACCGTCATCCACTCACCGTACACCCGGCCTTCAGTTGGGTTCGCATCTTGAGTTTCCGTACTACAGTTTCCTCCAATTCTTTTTCCTATTCACCCATTGCATGGCATTTGCAAGAGGTTGTTTTACTCCCATACATTCCACATTCCCCACATATGTCTTCCAAGCCTTCATACTGAATTAGATAGGTAACTCCCTCTACTTTGTATTGTGAAAGTAATGGGCGAGAGAGATCCACCTCGACGCAAACTCTAGCGTAGTTACCTCTTGCGCCCAGCTCAGTTGCTCGATCCACACGTACTGGCCGACCAATCAACTGAGCAATAATTGTAACAGCCTCCGCGTTAAAAAATTCCATAGGTAGGTCCGGCAGCTGGACCCACACAGTCGTGGACTTCACCTCTACTTTCCACGGGTTGAAGCCCTTATACCAACGGAATACAGTCAAGTATGTGTCTCCCAGCAGCCAAGGTCCTTCTGAACAGGAAAATTCATAGTCCTTCTGGCTTCTGAAACGCACCAGGAAGCATCCGTTCTTCATGTCAGAGATCTGAAGCTCGCCATTCCTTGCCCACAAAAAGTTCAATCGCTTAGCAAGAGGGAGGAAATACACCTTTTTCCCCAGACCTTTCACCACCAAAGCTGACCTCCATTCCCGTCTCCACTTGTTCTTCTGGGCAGCCGTGAATAAAGCCGGTGGACAACGTGGGTCGTAAGTTTCCTCATCAACAACATCATCCTCTTCGTGTTCTTGTTGTAGTACATCTTCAGTATCCGAATCAGCCACGTACCAGCCACCATCTTTCAGGACATCTCTAAAGAGTCGAGTTGCCCCCCCTGCCAGGCTGAGCGAGGCGCCTTTGCAAATCCGGTACCCCTTCACCGCCGGTTTCAGGACTTACATCAGTCATCTCTGTTTCTACGTCCATAGCCCTAACCTTTTTCTTCGGTTGTATAGTCTCACGAGCACTTTTCCCGTCTGGAGAAGAAGTTCCCAAAGCCGTTCGCCTAGCTCCACTCGTTCCATCAGGTGGTTTCCCCATGGGCGACGGCTGGCCGGACGGCGTTGACGCCGCCATCAAGACGAAGAGCGAGAAGTGTAACCTAGGTTTTCCTTGGTATTCCTCCCGCAAAAGTCAGAGCTCTTTTTTTCCTTGTCTGTAATTGCCCTCATCTACTTTTTTTCAAAAAATTAGACTAAGTAACGAAGAATCGAAGGTTCATGTATTTTTAGATGAATTATGAGTTATAAGATTTTCACAAACATGCATTAATGAATTATTCGTAATAACATTATTTTATTTGCACAAATATTGATACCGTAAATATTTCCCTCTAGATAGTGAATTCAGTGACACGAATTCTTGTCTTACCAACGAGGTTTAGACTTTGTCGCAAATACATAACTTCCTAATATAACATTATAGGCGACAATTTTATTCGTCACAAATAATCATAGCGCCAGTTTTTTCCTGCAAATAGTGAACATAGTGACAAAGTTTTTTACTTTACCGACGAGGTATTGGCTTTGTCACAGATACATAATTTATTGACGAAAAATTACTGACAATAGTGAAATCTCGTCACTAATAGTCAATTTCAGTGACGAATTTCCGTTGACATCGCTAATTTTTGTCTCTAATGACAGTCTTTTTTGTAGTGTCCATAGATTCCAACTCCGCCCAGCAAACTGGGCAACGCCCTAGCACGTCAACATCCTTCTTCAGCAAGGCCTCCGTAGTGGGTAAAATGTGGCTAAAAATCTGCCACGGGAAGAACTTCAGCTTCGGTTGCACCTGCAAAGACCAAGTAGATATCCAAAGCTTTCTGTCCATCCAACTAACGTCCTCTTTTCCATTTTGCCACCCATCGCCTCCTACGGAATGCCAGATGATATCCTGATTTGACCGTATAAGCACCTGAAGGATTCTCTTTCCATATGAGTCTTTCCTCCACCTCCAAGCAGGGCAGCAAAATAGCTTTAATTCGTTGTACATTGCGTAGGGAAGCAAGCCACCAGGCATTCCTCAGACAATTTACCCTCCCCTGGATGGATTAACGCGAAGACCTTATCTTACCTCCAAACGGGTGCCAAAGGCAATAAAGGTGGAGCCGCCTGATCCTTACCCGGAACCCACAACTCTGAGCCTATCTCCACTGACTTACCCATTCCCCTGCCATTGAAGATCCTGCTTGAGCAAAGCACAGCTATGCAGAACACTACGCCACCCCCAAGATGGGCGAGACCGAGGACCCGCAGCAAGGAGGGACCGTGTAGGGAAATACTTCCCCTTATAGATTCTTGGCAACAACGAGTCTGGTTCCTCTAAAATACGCCACCCCACCTTCGCCAATAAGACCTGGTGAAACTCCTCAAATCGCTGGAACTCCAAGCCGCCATCGTGCTTACTTCGATAAAGTCTTCGTCAAGACATCCAATGGATACGCGGAGAGCCATTCTTCGTCCCCCATCAAAATCTAGCCATCAATTGATCAAGCCGGCGACATAAATTTTTCGGCAACTAGAAACAGGACATAACATAGACAGGGAGATTCGTTGCTACCGATTTTAGTAGGGTTTCTTTCGCCGCCCACGACAAGTGATGTTGTTACCACCCTTGCAACCGGGCAAGAAGAACCTCCTCAACGAACTTGAATGTTTTAGACTTTGATCTAGCGATCAAATTTGGCAAACCCATGTACTAATCCTGTACCCCAACCGCTCCCACACCCAACCTAGCAGCCATATCCGCACAATTTGCCTCCAAAATATTTCGGCTAAAGCATACAACCGACTTAGCTAAGTTCACCCTCTGCCCACTCAGTTACTCTAACTCCCGGAGGACCTCCAGAAGTGTGTCACACTCCTGAAGAGAGCCCCTAAGAAAAAAATACGAATCGTCAGTGAAGAACAGGTGTGAAACGGCTGGTGCTCTAGGATTAACCCGGACCCCCGCTAGACGCCCTTCCGATACCGCCTTATTGATTGTAGTAGAGAACCCTTCCGTACATAGCACGAAAAGTAAAGGAGACAATGGGTCTCCCTACCGCAATCCATGTGATGAACGAATGAACCCTGATGGGGACCCATTCATCATCACCGAGAAAGATGCAGAAGAGAGGCATTCCCGCACCCACCCAATCCAAACCAGGCTAAAACCCAATCACTATAAGACCGAAAGTAAGAAAGACCACTCGACTCTATCATAGGTCTTTTCCATATCAAACTATAGAGCCATAAAGCAATTCTTACCCTTTGTCTTAATCTTAAGATAATGCATCAGCTCGTGGCCAATGAGCACATTATCCACGATCTGACGCTCCCTGATAAACACATTTTGTCCCTCCGACACAATTTTTGCCAGATGTGATGCCAAATGCTCCGCCATAACTTTGGTGATTATCTTATACACAAACTGGCATAAGCTAATCGGCCGCAGCTGACAAACATTTTTCACATCATCCACTTTAGGGATCAAGGTCAGCCAAGTGTGGTTAAAGCTATGTAAAATACGACCATTTTTGAAAAAATGAATGTATAGCCTTCACCACCGAGTGACCAACAATATCTCACAAAACTATATAGAACTTTCCGGTGAACCCATCCGACCCGGGCGCCTGCTTCACCCCCATGGAAAACACTGTCTTCCGAATCTCCTCATCAGTAACAATGGGTAATGCGACCACTCGCGCCGTCATATGCTCAACCGTATCTTCCAACGTGAACAAATGTTCGTAGAAACCAATTGCCAACTCCGCCTTCGTCTCATACAAGTGACAACATAGAAGTATGACGTATTATGGTTGCCCACCTTAAGCACCAGACTCGCGATTTCTGTTGCCAGAAATTTCTCCCACCTTCCATTGCCTTGCCAATTCCTATTCAAGTTGCCGGATCCTTACCCAATCCACCGGGGTTGCATTCCGCAAAGCATCAATCTCAGTTTGAAGCGTCCTAATTTCCCTGGCCGAATTTGTCGTGCCTGCCCGACTCTAATCATATAGAAGATGCCACAATTTTTTAAGCCGCTGCCAAAGCCTATACATTGGAGATTCACGCTCTTCTTGGCTCAACACATATTGGACAAACAGCCGAACCTCTGGATTATCCGTCCAACGAGCATCAAAACAAAACAGAGGGCAACAATTTCGCACAAATGGCTTATCCCCGACCAAAATCGTTCGATGATCTGACCCTCGATCGGTACAATATTTTTCCAACGAGGACGGGTAAGATTCCATCCATAGCGCAGACCCCAAGGCAGGATCTAGCCTTCCATCACACATACATTACCCATCCTCTTATTTGTCCACGTTAAAGGACTTCCCTGGTATCCTAAGTCTTGCAGACCCAAATTATCCATAAAGGCTCGTAGATCCTCAGATTGCGTTGGATTTCAGGCCGTACGTCCCACTTTTTCATTTGAGGACAAGATGGTATTAAAATCGCCAACCACCAGAAAAGGAATCGTCAACATCGTGCAAAACGCTTGCAAACAAACTAGTTGGGACCGACGCATAGCAGCGACACAACTCAAATACACACACACCACGATATATGGTGACTCATTATTATTAATAGTAACAACGATAAAGAAAGACAAATTACAACCGACAGAGACACTAAATTTGGGGGACCAACCAACTAGGAGTGAACAAACACACCAGCAAATCGACCCACCCGTCTAACCTGATCCAACCCACCCGTATTTATCGCTAAAACGAAGGTGTTGGGTTGGGTGAGGGTTTTGTTTTGTACAACCCGCCTCTTTTGGGTTGCGTTTGGATTTTGGATTGCACAACCTGTAGAACCCGACCCAACCCGTGTTCCAACTATTGGTATGAGTTTGTATTCAAAAAATATTTATGTCGTATAAGCCATACTTATGAGAAAATTAAAATATTTCGCCATGTGTTTCTCTCATGGTCTCCCTAATCTAATGCATTCTCCGACTTAAACTTTATAAATAAATTTAATATAGCTATGTTTCACGTAATCTTTTTTCTTGTGTATAATTTATATAGAATAACATATTATGGATGCGTTCGTTTATAACTTTTTTTAGCCAATTTCAACAAATGTCGTGAAAAAAACTAGACATTGAAGTAAATCACATTTTATGGTGTAGAATTTTGATACCTTTCACCTCGATTTATTAATTTGAAATTTTAATTAGTTATAAAATATTTTTATGGTGTAGAATAAGTACATATTTTGTGTTGGGTTGAGTTTTTACTTAAAAATATCGCCACCCCGACCCAACCCAATTAGAAACAAACCGTAGGGTTTATTTGGTGGGTTTTGGTTTAATATTTCCCAAACCGTAGTGCATGGTTCGGATTATTAAAATGGCTAAACCCATACCACCCGACCCATGTACACCCCTACAACCAACAACTAAACCACCTGACGAATTAACAACATCAACTAAAAAATAGGAATCCAACGAAAAACCTAAATGCCGCATACGACGCACTACGACCTGACGACGAGATCTCGTTTCCGACAGAAAAACCAGATCCGGATTATTAGACCAAACTAGACCTAACAACGTCTGGAGCGTGAGAGTAATCCCTATACCCTCACGTTCCACGATAAAATTCTCATTTGGGCGATTGGGGCCATTTCGGGTTGGCTTCCTCCACACTACATCATCATTCTTACTAGAACCTTGTACACAAACTTTCTTCACAGGGGTAGGATAAGCCACCAATTCCCCGACCTCCACAGTAGACCTTTTCTTCTCATCTATGACCTCAATCTCA